AGTTTGTTGTAATAAAGGATTTGTTCACTCAAATAACTTGTTCTTGTTCTTTTAAGAGTCATTGTTACTGATAAGAATTATTGTTTAATATATACCGTGGAAACGTGATATTTTCTGAGACGATTATCATACAGTGAAAATCTCATACCGTTACAACCCTAGTGGCACCAAACAGAATTACAAAAATAATGACTTGTTTTCGATTAGGGTTCTTAACACAGGTCTGCCATTGGTCAGAAAAACAGCCCTGCCATTGGTTGAGCATGTGTTGCTTTAAAGAAATGCAAATGATGCAGTCTCAAGTGCTTTCTGAAACTAGAAAAAATTCAAAAGACATTGAGTTGTGCAGGCAAAGCATATGATGAACTGTTTGGTGCCATTAGATTATTATCTGGCAATATTGTCGACTTCATAGCACAGACACTATTTAAACTGAGCTGAGATGGAAGATGACATCACTGAATCAATAATGAGCTGACTTTAACTGAAAAATTGAGTGTTTACTATTGTCATTATGCATTATCGAACTATTTTCCTGTTCAGCACATTAAAGCTGCTTTGACACAATCTGTATTGTATATTAGTATTAGCTGTTGTTAGCTTCAAAATGCTCTATTAAAAATGCTCGGCTGCTGCTGGTGACAAAATGATTGGAAAAGTGTGTGTTAGAATCTTTAGTCACAGTGGGGTTCACATGAAGGTTTGCTACGACATGTTTTTAGATTTTTTTTTTCCAGATTCTTTTTTAATGCTCACCATGGCTGCATTTATTTGATAAAGTATTGTAAAAACATTTAAAATTTGAAATGTTATTACAACAAAATTTCAGAATTGTTTTCTGTTTTATTATATATTCAAATATAATTTATTCCTATGGTGACAGCTGAATTTTCAGCAGCCATTTCTCCAGTCTTCAGTGTCAAATGATCCTTCAGAAATCATTCTAATATGCTGATTTGGTGCTCAAGAAACATTTTTTTTATCATCAATGATGAAACCGTTGTTCTGCTTAATATTTAACCATATTAAAAATAATATATATTTTTAGGATTCTTTGATGAATAGAAAGTTCAAAAGAAAAGCATGTATCGAAATAGAAATCCTTAATGTATCATTCCAACTATCTTTGTCACTTTTGTATCTGAATAGAATAAAAAAAATTACTGACCTCAAATGTTTGAACTGTAATATATGAGTAATGGTAGACATTATTCCATTATAATCTGAGTAATACTTTGAATTATCACTCACAGCCCCTTCACTCTATGAGGACATTTATCTAAATGAAAGTTTTCTAATCTAGTAGCAAATGTGATTAAGCTTTTTTAGTGTTTATATCTGAATTTGGCTCATATTTGAGGTCATATAAGGCCAACAGTGTCACTGGTTCACCCAAACGGACTGCTTATTTACCCATTCAAATATTAATTCGTTTTTCATTATAAAAAAATAATAATAATTGTCTGTATATCATCATATTACTTATAGCTTGAAAAATGTTTTTGTCAGGTTTTGTGTTCTGCAGTAGTTCACAAGATTTATTCTTGCCTCCAGCACCACAGAGATAATAATTGTATTTATGAGGTTTTTCAATCTGGTTTTAAGTCTGCTCACTGCACTGAGTCTGCCCTTTTGATAGTTTTAAATTATATTTACCTCTCTACTGATTCC